CAAATGTCAAAACTGACATTTCATTCAATTGGTTTATTTCTTTTGTACAGTAAAACCTGTCAATAACGGAATCCCATGGGGAAATTTTTTTTTCCACTATTGACACGATTTCCACTATTCACAGTTTCCGTTATTGGCAGGTTTTTGAGTCGATCCAAACATGATTTTCCATTATTGGGGGTAAAAATAAAGAAAAAAAGCAATGCATACATTTTTATGCGCGTTTAATGATCAAATCAAGTGATATTATAAGCGTGAAAAGGAAATACTGAAATAAAGGTATTTTTTAATAAATGATTGTAGGAAAAAACTGAAATTGAAAAAAAAACAGTGGATGACAAAAATTATGGTTTAAAATAATCGGTAATTGAAGATTGTTTCGTTTTGTTTGCAATCAAATCATCTTGTACTAAATTAATGGATTCTACTATTTTATCGATTAAAAACGTATTTTCCTTTGCGTGCGCAAAAAGTCGGAGTTCTTTGAGCATGTCCAATGCTTCGTCGTGTTTGATTGTTGATGCACTGCTAGCTTCATTTTGTTCCGAGTTCTCATCTTCACATTCGTCTTCGTTTTCGCTTTCGTCGTCTCGATTTTCATTGTTTGGAGTGTTGAACTCGGTATCACTTTCAGTAATCACTTCATCGTCAATGTGTGCGAATTCTTCTGGCGATAGATCATCAAAACCAGCTTGTTCCATCAAAGCGCGCAGTTCAGATAAAGGAATATTATCTTCGTCAGTATCGTCGATATGTTCTTACTGAAAGCCGGCTTTGCGAAAACAGTTTGGAACCACTTTATCATTTAAACTTTCGATTGCTTCCTTCAACCAAAAAATCGCATCGAGAAATGTTATGCCTTTTACTAAATCCGATACGTTTCTCGCAGTGTCCATTTGGCAAATCAATCGCTTTAGAACTCGTTTTCGGTAATGTACTTTTATTGCATTGATGATTCCTTGATCAAGTGGCTGAGTTTGGCTTGTCGTATTGGGTGGCAAAAAAATCAACTGAACATTCGACAATTTCAAATTCGGGTGACTCGATGCGTTGTCCAAAAACAATAAAAAATTTCGTTTTTGAATCATCATTTTCTTGTTCAATTGTATCAAAAACTCTTCCATAATCGATCCAGTCATCCACGCTTTTTTGTTAGCATACCACGAAACCGGTAAATGGTGCTTCTTTACGCCCTTAAAACATCTCGGATTTTGAGATTTACCAATGACTAGCGGCTTCTCGAATTTGCCATCAGCGAAACAGCACAATAAAATAGACAACCTATCCTTTGAATGTTTGCCACCGTAACACTTTTCACCCTTTTTGTGCAATGTTTTCTTTGGTATCGCTCGGAAAAACAACGCAGTTTCATCGCAATTCGCAATGTCTTCGATTTTATATCCAGCAATCATCTCTGGTAATTTCTCCAAAAAGTCATTGACTGGTTGTTGTTGTACATCCTTTGATTCGCCACAAACGGAGGAAAATGTTAACTTGTGCCTGCTCTTGAACGCCTCAAGCCATCCGTTGGAGGCCTTGAAATCGTGTTCACCAATTTCGATTGCAATTTCTTTTGCTTTCACTTGAATTACCGCACCGGAGACTGGCAAATTTTTGGCCAATGCTTGTGTGAACCAATTGTATGTCAATTCATTGATTGTTTCAAACTTTGAACTGCGCATCTTCATCTTCGCATCAACATTTTGCGATGAAAGGTATTCATCGATTATTTCCTTTTTGCCTTTAATAATCTGGTACACAACCGACTTGCCACATTTGTATTTTTCTTTCAAAATTTCGATTTCAATTTTTGCTTCATGATCTTTTATCAGTTGGTACTTTTGTTTTAATGTGAGCCGCGAACGTTGAATAGGTTTATTATCGCCTTTTTTACGATACATTTTGAAGAACGAAAGAAATATGTGAGAGTTATGACTTTTAGAATTAAAGAAGTTCTAATTGTTGGATCGGAGGGTTTTTCGCTTGGGTGCAATTGACGAACTGAACAATAAAATCAAATTTATTGATTGAGTATGGCATGAATATCAAATGTATGGCAAAACTGTCGCATACATAGAGTCGGTGAATAATTCATAGCTATCGAGTCAGCATAAAACTGAATTTCGATTTCTTAGAATTTTTGATTACACAATGCTGTCCAAACAATCGAGCAGTCTAAACAATGACTCAAAATGAGAAAGTAAACGATACATATTTTTTTGCACTGCCAAATTAGCAGCGATAAATTCTGCGTTCACGAAACGAAACAATGATTTTCAACATACTGTAAATGTACTGAATTGCACGCGGCAATCGAGTGGTTATGTTTTTATTGGGAGCGTCGAAAAACTATTTGCTTGAATAACTAAGCAAAGATTTTGGCGGACAAAAGTATAAGATGATACTGAAATCAATGTAATGTACATTGAATTGCAGGTTTTTAATGATGATCATTGGTTTTGATATAAGAAAAAACATGTTTTTAAATAAAAAAAAACGAAAAAAAATTTTTTGTCAAGAAATTTTTTTCCACTATTCGCGGTGAGTGTTTTCCGTTATTAACAGGTCAATTTGTATGGAAGAGCTCAATGGCCAAAATTTTTTTCCACTATTGACACGATTTCCACTATTTCCAGGTTCCGTTATTGACAGGTTTTACTGTATCTCTCCCCCTATGTTTATTACACATTATGTGTGTATATATAT